TCCCTAGTTTATCTCCTAGTTCTATTGTTCAGATGTGAGGTGGAATTTTTGGTTGGTGGTTGAATTTCAGGTTCAAGATTTAGGTTTTAAGCACACGCCCTGGCTCCAGCCTTCCTAACTGAATCTCTTGCAAACTTTAGACTACAGTTAACCCTGAAGTGTGATCTTTCTAAGGAATTGTACCACTAAAGACTTCTCACTGGGTGTCAGTTGCCTATCTGTAAAGTGGTGGTTTCTTGTCCCTCTTGTCACCTTGCCTCTAAGTCTTTATGTGATCATGGCCCACTCTCTGTTAAATTCAAATACACCTTCCACCTCCCGGATCTTCTCCTTTCCCCAATCTTCCTGTTCTAAGGAATGGGAACTAGAGATTAATATGTGTAATGAACTGTCTACATCATTATCTTTTTTTTTTTTTTTTTGGAGAGATTTTCACTGTAGGGCGCGTGCGCTCGCCAGACAGACAGAGAGAGACATAGAGACAGAAAGCGAGAAATCACCCCCCAGGGGGGATGGTCACGCTGCAATCCCTTCTCCTCCATTCTCCTCTCGGGATCTTGGGCACGCACGCACACGTGCCTGGCGTGAGTTTTAAGCCATCGGGTCCAGGACGCGAACCGCGGTCGACTACGTGGGAGTCCAGCGACATAGCCATTACGCTAACTGCTGGTTCCCTACATCATTATCTTTATTGTGGAAGATAACCATAGTTTGAAATAAAAATGTCAATGATAGACATTTAAAATATTTTAAAGTAAAGTTCTACTTTTTACTATTGTTTTATTTCAATGCTCTGATCCATTAGCATTAGTTAATAAAAATCTATACTTTGCCTTTGAAGACAGAGGTCTTCAGGACTGATTCTTTTTTTTTTTTTTTTTTGTGAGGTTTTTTCTTTATGTTTTCCAAACAGACAGAGAGAGACAGAGAGACAGAAAGTGAGAAATCACCCCCCATGGGGGATGGCCATGCCACAGTCCCTTCTCCATTCTCCTCTCGGGATCTTGGGCATGCATGCACACGCACCTGGCGTGAGTTTTAAGCCACTGGGTCCGGGATATGAACCGCGGTCGACTACGTGGGAGTCCAGCGACATAGCCATTACGCTAACCACTGGTTCCCTTCAGGACTGATTCTTGACCAGAACCTAGGAAATAACTTTTGAGTTGTTGAAATATATTGCTTGATAGGAGTACCTCTATGTAACTGAGACTCTGGGCCATGCTAGATAATGTATGCTAACATGATTGGCGAATCCTTATTGTTGTATACCTGGGCTTTGGGCCATCAGCTTGACCTTTGGAGTGGGAGAGCACTGGTCTGGTAGCCAAGAGCCGCAGGGAAGAGATGCTTATCTATAAGCCAGGGAGAGAGGCCTGGAAGAGAGCCTTCCCTCACAGCCCTCTGAAGGAACACATCCTGCTGACACCCCGATTTTGGACTTCTAGTCTCTAGACCTTGAAGCAATACATTTCTGTTTTTCAAGCCACCTACCTGCGGGACTTTGCTGTGGCAGCCCTATCAAAGGTATACAATAGCATTGATTCTTATTTTGTGAAAGAAAAAAGATGAGTTTTGAGGTGCAAATATAAATTTTAGAATTTGAACCAGGACAGATGTTAAGAAATTAAAATCTAGAAATTTTACTTGCACTTGTTTAGAGATGAAATTTCGCATCTGAATTTAAATGTTTTCTTCTGGTTGGTTTGGCAATGTGTAGAAACAGCCTGAACATGAGGTATGTTTTCGAATTCTTTTTGAAAAATCTTTAGGACCCCAAGAAAATCATTTAAAAAAGAAAGGGAGAGGTTAGCTGTCTGGTGTTTACCTTGGCTGTTTTAACAGCAGCCCCATATCCAGTGGAAAACCCACAGCCAATCAGACAGACTTTCTCAGGAGGAGCTGTGTTGTCAATCTTGGCAACAGAAGATTCATCCACCACCGTGTACTCAGTAAATGTACTGGTGTTCATGAAGTGATAGACGGGTTTGCCCTTGCATGTAAATCTGGTGGTGCCATCGGCCAGCACTCCACGACCGGTGACACTGTTTGGTACATCAAATACACATATTAGTTAATCCAGTTAAGCAATTAGCACAGGGATACCTTAAGTGACATTCAAATATAAAGAAGTGAAACCTACTCGCTCCTAATACAAAGGTTGCCATTTGGGCTGCGGCAGGCATTGCATTCTCTACACTGTGGCAGAAAGAGAGGGATGACTTTGTCTCCTAGAGGAAACACATCAAATTAAAAGGCAGTTCATAAACGGTGCAAACATTTTCTCAGAAGTATTCTAAGGTCTATTAGCACTTTAAGGTTTGCTTGCTAAAGGTTGAAACATTGCCAATTTAACCATAACTCAATATACTCTGTCCTCTTCATATCCTTGTATCTCCCGAAATTGTGTTAAGGCTCTCTCTAATCATTCCTAGTGCATGCTAGCTCTGTTGGTGGGATGATCAAAGCCTACTTATTGGGAACTTATGGCTTGATATCTGCATACCTGGTTTCACCGTAGTGACTCCTTCTCCAATGCTCTCCACAACCCCAGTTGCCTCATGCCCCACAATCACTGGAAACTTAGACACCATTGCTCCTTTTATCACATGGTCATCTGTGCGACAGATGCCTGTGGCCAGAATCTGTGTTTACAGACAAGAACAGCACATCAACCAGGAAGTCTGGTCATTTAGCAATCAGGAGAATATTTAACTTGCTCTTGAAGAAATTGTAGTTTTTATTCATTACCAGATATAATAGTGTTGACTCTCAGAAGATTCTGAGCCTAAAATCAACATCAGACAAGATTCCTCTCTTCCAAGGACTTATAATATTTCTGCCTCTGTCCTTAGTGTGAATCTTGATGCCTTTGTAGCAAACTGACGCCCTTGTAAGGGAACTGCAGTGTAGATGTTACCAGGTGACAGGCACACAAGTAGATTTTGATAGCTAAGCCCTCCTAGATCTCTCTGAATCAAGGGAAGAGAGAATGGCATACAAGGTAAGTGAGGAGCAAATCTTACTGTTACTACAGTGCTCTGGTAACAGAAGGTCAAAGAAAGATTTGCAGCAATGCCTACTCAACAACTTGTGTCCCCACCAAAGGGTCTTCATTCTTTAGGAAAAATAACCTCAAGACAATCTAAATCCCAGATTAAAAAAAAGTTTTAGTCAGAATTATTAAGCATGTTTTAACAGCCACTGTGTCAAAAATTCAACCAATGAAAACATTAATAGGACAAATCACTATTTTTTCTTTTTTAGTAGGTAATGAACTCAGACAGTGTAATGGCACTGCAGGTGTATGTACTCCAAAGCTTGCTCTTACTTTAATGCGAACTTCTTTAGCCTTTGGTGGGGCGACTTCAATTTCCTCGATGGAGAAGGATTTATTTGGTTCCCACAGCACAGCTGCTTTGCATTTGATAACCTAAGAAATTGGCAAGCATTAAAATGATTTCTAATTATGCCTTTACAAAGTCTCCCCAAATAACGTAACTAAGGGCATAAGATCATATATGATAGTCTAATTTTCCTAGAATGATTTTCATCAAATACTAGAAGTATAAGCCTTGCAGATCATCTTGTGCACACATTTGTTTGAGGTACGAGGAAGGGAGTGCTGCAGGACTAGAGGATCGCTCTGTGGTCAGATACGACATGTGGTACAGGGCTGGGCTAGAATTGAGGTGCACTTTTTTCAGCCCATTTTTTTATTTGCCAGTGTTTGTGCATTATTCAAGGTTTTGCTAAAACTTCAAATGCAATAGATTAATAAATCTGTCATCTGTGTATCATTTATTCACAAACATATAGAACAGAAAATGCTGCCGATTTGTCTGAAAGAATTTTAGCCAGTATTGTTTCCTATAACCACGAGGCAATGGTGAGAAGTTAGACAGTATGGTAAGAGATGAAGGGAACTGTGATGTCCTCAAGTACGTCGACTGTGACTGAGCGCCTGGGTGACAGTTTGCGTCCTTGCACCTCTGTAGCTCTTTTTGCACTTGGTCCAGTTTTTGCCTCAACTGTTAGACAGGTTAAAGTTTCAGTAGTTAGACAAGTTAGAGTTTCTCATTTTAAGAAGTGAAAATTAAGTGTGGAGCTAACTCAGTGATTAGCCACTAGTCATTAAACTGGTATTTCTAGACTTAATCAAATAAATCATTTTTCTTCTTTTTATTTTTATAGACCATAGATTAGTTTATTTTTAACACCCACCACACCACGAATTCATAGGGAATAGGTTCCAGTAGCTCAGGCTCCTTTCCATTGGTTCTCACAAAGTGTGCTTCTCTGGGTGGAGCCGGCTGGTGCTTCAGTTGAACCCAGGGGCCTTTCTCTTTGGCTTCCTTCTTTTTCTGGTCATTTTCCTTCACATGTTTTAAGAAGCTATATCTGCTCTTAATATGCTCAATATACACATTAATTCTCTTGGCAAGAATCTTGCCCTTAACCTGTTTGTTTACAGTGCCAACAGCATGCTGGGTAACATTGTAGACTCTTCCAGTTTTGCCATGGTGACATTTGTGGGGCATTCCTTTTTGAACAGTACCCATTCCCTTGATGTCTACAATATCACCTTTCTTGTAGATTCACATATATGTCGCCAAAGGAACAACTCCTTGTTTTCTAAAAGGGCTAGAGAATATATATCGGATGCCTCTCTTCTTTCCCTTTGTGTTCGTCATTTTGGTTAATTACTGGAAGATGGCGGTTCCAGCCAAAAGGAAGATAAATCATTTTTCTAATATTATCAAATTCTGAGAAGGAGCAAAAAGAAAAGTATTCCTGCTTTCCCCCTCCCAAATCTATCTGGGACTCCTACGAAACGTTTCAATTCATTTATTCAGATGCAAAATGAATTATCCCTCATCTTATTTGTCAACTAATGCCACATTCCTGGAGTGCTTCTTTACATGGTTTAAAGGTTCCTTTGCAAAGAGTCAATATGAAAAATGTTATACTGGAAACAGATGGGTGCTGAAAGCCATTAACAACTCAATTGAATATTCACCCTCTGCTTTGCTAAGAAAAATGTAATGCGTCAGAGCAATTCAGAGTTGCGGTCAGAATCCTCATACCACATTTCCAAACAAATTCCAGTTGGAGTCATAATTAAGATTTATTTTAAAAACCAAACTTTTATCATAAATTAATATATAAATATTAATCATAAGAAGCATGGTGGAACTTCCACACTTAAGAATGATAGGAAAAAGTCATACAGGAAACAATGGAGCTTCCAAGAATAAAATTGTGTGTGCTGAGAAAAAGTAAATTCTCCAAATTAAAAGCAAGTAAGTCCTAAGGGAAAAATAGTTAGAACTAAAATGGTAAATGTTACTGTTTTTTATTTTTAAATTGCTAAAAGGCAGTGCACTTGCTAAAGAGACAGAGAAAGAGACTGAGAGAAAGGGAGGAAGGAAGCACTGCCCAATGGGCCATGGTTAAGTTGCAATCCTTTCTCCTTTATTTCGGTACCTTAGAGATTAGGTGCACATGGTTGCACTCGCACATCTGGTATGTTTTTCACACCTCTGGGATTGGGATTCAAACTGTGATTGGCCACACAGCGCCCTTAACCACTAGACTATGGAGGTGGCCCAGAAGTTACCACATTTGATGTATACAATACTTAATCAAGAAAAGCATTAAAATCCCCATTTCTGCCACACCTGCCCCTTCACATGTCATACTCATTCCCCAAGAGATACAAGCGAAAGGTATAGAGCAAAATAAGATTAATAAACATATTATTGTGAAGTATTTGTTCTTCTCAGTCATAAAAAGTCCTTTTAAAAATAATAATGATAACATGTCGCTATCAAATGCACAGTGACTTTTTACTTAATGAGAATATACAGTATTGTCACTAGGGTGGTATAATGGACAATCTCATTCATGTCAACCCCTTTGTAAAGCAATTTGCAGTATGTATCAGGATATTTGGGAATATTCAGACATTTCCATCCTTTCATTCCAGTTTTTTAAATCTAACTTTAAGGACATGTTAAATTCAGAAAACAATATATTGGGTCATTGGAAAAGTCATGACACAGTTTTGCATAGAAAAATAGAAAAATACATCATGACTTTTCCAATGACCCAATATTTTAGAGGTCATCACAGCACCATTCATAAAGGGAAATATGTAAACATGATAGAATGATTAATAAATTGTGATAAATCTATAAATTAGAGTTAGACATGTAAAAATATTTATAAGTTCTTTGTAAAAAATTGGAAAAAAGGCTTACATTTGATTAGAAAAATAGAGTAAAATAATGGGACCAGCAGTTAGCATAATGGCTATGTCGCTGAACTCCCATGTAGTCAACCGTGGTTCGAGTCCCAGACCCGGTGGCTTAAACTCACACCGGGCGCGTGTGCGTGCGTGCCCACCCGAGATCCCGAGAGGAGAATGAAGGAGAAGGGATTGCAGCGTGGCCATGCCCCCTGGGGGTGATTTCTCACTTTCTATCTCTCTTTCTCTCTCTCTGTTTCTGGTGAGCGCACACGCCCTATAGCAAAAACCTCTCCAAATATATATATATAAAATGTGGATGAAAAATACATTGAGGGCAATACAAGCAAATTGAGATCAGTGGTACTTTGAAGATATGTGATTATGTTTTTTTTTTAAAGGGGCACATACACTCTCCAGAAAGAGACAATGAGAGGGAAAAGGAGAAATTCTCCTTTTGAGATTTTGGGCATGTACGCATGGGGTCTAGTGTGAGTTTCAAGCCCTTAGGTTGGAGAATCAAACTGCGGTTGACCATGTGGGAGTCCAGCGCCTTAACCTCCATGCCACCTGCTGGCCCCTGATGATGGTTATTTTCTATTTTCCCAGCTTTCAAGAATGATCATTGTTATAGGCTGACTTGTGTACCACCCCCATCCTTAATTCAGATGGTGAAGTCCTAACTTCCAGTACTTCAGTGACTATATTTGATGATGGGGTCTTTTTTTAAAAAAGAGGTTTTTGCCTTAGGGTATATGTGCTGCTGAAAAAAGAAAGGGACAAAGACAGTGAGAGGGAAAATGAGAAATCATCCCAGAGGGAATGGCCAGGCTGCAGTCCCTTCTCCTCCATTCTCCTCCCAGGATTTCGGGCATGTGTACACACATGCCCAGAGTAAGCTTCAAGCCACCGGGTCCAGGACTTGAAACACAGTTAGCCATGTGGGAGTCCAGCGACTACACCATCTAGAGCTGGCCCCAAGATGGGGCCTTTTAACAGGTAATTTAATTAAAATGAAAAAATTAGAGTAGAACTTATTCCAGTATGACCTGTCTTTATAAGAAGAATAGCTTAGGACACAGAGACACTAAATGAAGACCATGTGAAGGCACGGGAAAACAGGGTCATCTACGCACTAAGGACAGAGGCCTCAGACAAAAGAACCCACCACCCCATCATCTTGATCTCAGAATTTTAGCCTCCAAGTCAACAATGAAATTTATTTTCTGTTGTTTAAGTCACCCAGTCTGTGGTACTTTGATATGGCAGCCCTAGCAAGCTGATGCAATTGTATTTTACTTTCCTCTTTTTTTTCCCCCTTTTTTTTTAGAGGTTTTTGCCTTAGGGCGCATGTGCTCACTGGAGAGGGGGAGAGAGAGAGACAGTGAAAGGGAAAGTGAGAAATAACCCCCTGGGGGGATGTCAATGCCACAATCCCTTCTCTTCCTGGGATCTTGGGCATGCACGCACTCACGCCCAGCATGAGTTTCAAGCCATTGGGTCCAGGACTTGAACCATGGTCAGCCATGTGGGAGTCCAGCAACGTCACCACTATGCCATCAGCTGACCCCATAATTCACTTTTTCAATGTAAACATTAAAACAAAATTATAAAGAGAAAAAAAAAAACACTCACATGGTCAAAGTGGGTGAACTGCGTGGCACCATCCCCATGGGAACCCCACAGCCCCAACTGCTTACCTAGTGCAGCTTCTACATGCTGTATGGATCTCAGAGTCATGGCAGAGCAGTGGCCACACCCTGGTGGGATTTCTGTAGGCCTGCCCCAATGCTTGGTGTGGCCTCCACACCCCTTGTGTGCTCTCTCTGGGCCCAGTGACACAGCCTGTTGGTAGATGCCACTGCCACCTGGCTATGTCTACTAGAAGGGCCTCCCCATGCACAAGTAGGGCCTGAGAAAACTGGCCACCTCGCCATATGCCTGCTGCCACCATGACCATGGCTGACGCTATACCCTTTACTGGTGGAGCCCCTGTGTACCCTGCTCGTCTCACTCTGAGTCAGAAAACACTCGCCTGGGCAACTCTACTGCCACCACCCATAATTCTCCCCCTGAGTCAGTAGAACTCCATAAGCACTGTCCATGCCTCACATAGGGTCTGAAGCTCCAGTCTGGGAGCTTCAGCTGCCATTGACTGCAGTTCACTCCCAGAGCAATAGTCCATGCCCTGCACATCCCTACCCAGGCCTGAGGTTACCAGTACCCTCACACTTGGCGCCTGCTACAACACCGCTCCTGGAGATGCCTCCTTGGCTAGTGGGGCTCAAACCACTGGGTGCCCTCAATCTGGAATCAGAGGAACCTGCTCTACACTCCCCATGCCCCCATCTCCAACAAAACTTCCCCAGTGCATCTGTAAATGCTGTCATTCAGTCACAAATGCACTTGAAGACATCACTGACATAGATTCCAATAGAAGATTGAGTATACGGAGACTGAACCTAGCCAGAGCAAAATCCATGCACACTACCCAGGTCTTCCTATAGGGCAGATCTACAGGAAAATGTTCTTCCCTGTGAAAGTCTTTCCATAGAATTAGAAAGAGTTGATTGTACCACCAGATGCCAAGATATCAATGCAGGGACAGAAGAAAAATTATGAAAAAAAAATAAGGAAACATAACTCCTACAAAGGAACAAAAGAATTATCTAGTAGCAGAGTCCAAAGAAGAGGAAATTCAAGAAATGCTGAAATGGCACTCAAGATAATGATTTTAAGGAAAGTTAATGAGTTACAAGATAACTCAGATAGGCAATTCCTCAAAACCAGGAAAACAATCCATGGCATGAATGAGAAATTAAACAGAGAGGCTTCTTAAAAAAACGAATAGTAGTCCTGGAGATGAAGAATTTAATAGGTGAAATTTAAAATATATTTGAGAGCATCAACATGCTAGATCAAGCAGAAGAAGGAATCTCTGAATTTGAAGATACAGCTTTTGAAATAGACAAAAAGAAAGGGAAAATAAAATAAAATAAAGAAGGCCTAAGCGACTTATGAATTAAGCAATCAAACATTTGCATTATGGAAGTTCCCAAAGGAGAAGAGATATGAAAAGATATAGAATACCTATCATGAAATAATACTAAAAAATTTCCCAGAGCCTTTAGGTAGTGTAGTAGTTGGGGCACTAGACTCCCACATTGCTGACTATGGTTCAAGTCCCAGACCTGATGGCTCGCTTTCTGTCTCTCTCCCTCTCTGATGAGCACATGTGTCCTGTAGCAAATTAATATAATAATAATGATAAACACAATAAAATAATTAAAAACAAAACAAAAACAAACAAACGAAACCCCCAAAACTTGACATCTAGGAAGAGATGGACATCTAGATTTAGGAAACACAAAGAAAGCAAATAAATTTAACTAAAAAAAAAAAAAATCCTTGCTGAGGTATAATATAGTCAAACTGCCAGAAGTCGGAGATAAAGAGACAGCCCTAAAAACAGCAAAAGAAAGGAAAGGAATCAAGTTGCACATATAGGAATCCCTACTAGATGAACAGCAGACTGCCCAGTGCAGGAGAAAATGAGATGGTATGTTCAGAGTACTGAAAGCGTACAAGACCTCAAACATCTGTTAGGTGACGCAGTTGTAAGTTTCGAAGGTTCCTTTCAATCCTAAGATTCATTCATTTCCATGGGTAGAGTTGCTAGCTTCTACAGTGTAAAATTAATTTTCTAAGAAACATAGTTTGGCTTAATTTATGACCCAAAGTAGGATGCTTTCATTCCAGATCCATTCAATTCTAGGAAAATTATTGATGGCATAATGATTATGTTGCTGGACCCCCATGGAGTCAACTGGAGTTTAAGTTCCAGACCTAGCAGCTTAAAACTCTTGCCAGATGCGTGTGTGTGCATGCTCAAAATCACAAGAAGAAAATGGACAAGAAGGGATTGTAGTGTGGCCAACCCCTCCCTGGGGAGTGACTTCTCGCTTTCTGTCTCTCTAGTGAGCACACATGTCCTGTAGCAAAACTCTCTTTAAAAAAAGAAAACTATTTGAAATTCTAACATTATAGGGCTTCCTCACTTGTTACATTATCTAGACTTCAAATGCCATTTTTATTAATCTAAAAATTTAAGGTTGGCTAAATGCAAGCCATTTAAATAAAAACAAAAGCATCTAGTGCTTTTTTAAAAAAATATATTTCTGAAGATACACACATTCAGAGAAAGAAAGAGAGAGAGAAAAAGAGGGCAAGAAAGACAGGTACCCTTGCCAGGGCCTCGCACTGAACCTCCCCCCCACCCATGACCCTCAGTCAGCTGGGCTCACTGGCACGTGTGTGTGTACCTGGTGTATACAGGTTGACCCGAGATCCAAACCTGTGATTTTACACATGGATCCAAATCACAGTGCTACCTCTACACCACTAAGGCTGGCTCACTACTTAACACTCTCAGCGATTATGTACCCACGTATTGTTGTTGGTTTATCGGAGAGCATGCGTGCTTGCCAGAGAAAGAGTGGGAGAGAAAACATCCACAATGGGGCATGGTCACCCTGCAATCCTTTCTCCAATTCTCCATCCCATCAGGATTTTAGGCTTACACATACATGTGCCCTCATGTCTGTCAAGCCACTGGGGCTGGGACTTAAATCACAGTCACCCATTTGGGATTCAGCTCCCTATGCATGGCCCTTAACCACTGTGCTGGGGGGTGGCCCATTTCAAGCATGGAACTATACTTGACCTACTTACACATCGAAAATATGCCAGTTACTTCTAAGTTAGTACCAATTCCGCTGAGTGGTGTTTTTTAAAGAACAAGCATACTTTGTCTAGACCATAATCTTATTATCACAAATTTTTAAAACTCATATGTTGATTAAAACTGCATTCTTAAACTTCAAACATGTAATATCACTACTTTGTTGTCCTCTCTGCATCCCAGAGTTAGCATTTTCCATTGTCAACATCAGGAACGATTTTCTCAAGACCTGGGTATGAGACCTCTGTCTCCCAGGTGAGCTGCTGAGTCAAGTGCAGCGCATGCTCCTGAGATTATTGGATGTCTTCATGGAAACATTTTGCTTACAATGGCGAACTCCCAGCTATCCTGCAATTAAGTTATTAATAGTGCCAGTATAAACACATTTTTCTCTTTTCCTCCAGTATCTTATTGCAAAATCTTCCATATGCTGTTTTCAATTTAAACATGCTTCTACTGACATTCTCTGAAATGCTCTACCCACCTCTCCACTCCTTGTGTGCCTGCTCAAAGGCATTTCATTCCTCAAGAAATATACTTGCATATTTAATTATTCCAGGCTGTGCAAAGTTCTCAAAATCAACCCCACATTATCAGGTTGTCCTGACGAGGACACAGAAAGGCTCCACTTACTTTTCCAGCAGTGCCCATCTTGTCTTTCTCTTGGTTCCGTGTGTTCACACCAGGGGCTCTTCCTGCCTGATCCTCTACTGGAAATAAGAGTATCTCGTGCCCTCAAATAAATAGTCTGGCTCAAAAGTTCTGCCTTTGGCAACATGACTCAGAGCCTTAACAACTGTCCTGTAGTCCATGAGCCCCACCCTCTGCAGATCGAGTTGTGAAAGAAGTACAGTTACTGTTAGGATCAGAGCAAGAATAGGGCTCTCACAAAGCAGGGTGATCAGATGGACCGAAAGGGGCTGAAAGCACTCTTATCCAACTTATTTTGGAGGATATGAAATAGGTCAGGTCGATTCAACTCAACACAGGTCATAAAAAATGTATTGTGTGCTTCCTAAGTGCCAGCCGCCCTGCCAGGCGCAGCTGATCCCAGGGATGTGTGCACATTTATATTCATACTCCTCTTCATCTACAAAGACTGGATGTACTTTGTGGAAAACAAAATTAAATATAAATGAAAGTAGGGCCAAGGAGATGTAAAAAACAACAACAACAACAACAAATTGAAACAGACCGTCAGGGCTGGCAAGGAGGAGTCACGGTATCTAGAATATAGATATGGATGACTGTGGTTTCTAGGTATTTTGAGAATAGAATGTTGAGTCAAACTTCTTGTCCCCGAACGTAAATTATCATCTAACTCCAAACCCCATTATCTTGGAATTGTCTCCGATGGTTGTGTAGTTTGTGTGCTGCACACAGTGCCCAGCACCAGGGCTGAAGCGGGATTAAAGTACACCTGCATGCCGCCTCTTGTATTTGCATTAGCGAGTGCTTATTCGGTCTTCAGAGAAGCTGTTTATCTATCATAGACCACTATTCAAATGTGCCAGAACCGCTTGGATATACTGTTTTTATAGAAGAGTCTCTAAGATTTTATTTATTTTTGTATTTTATTTATTCATAAGTAAAAGATGGAGACAGAGAAACAGAGACATGGTACCCCCAGTGGGGTCTTTTGTTTTTCTTTTTTTTTGGGGGGGAGAGGTTTTTGCTATAGGGTGCATGCACTCTCCAGAAAGACAGACAGAGAGACAGAGAGACAGAAAGTGAGAAATCACCCCCGCCCAGGGGGATGGCTATGCCGCAATCCCTTCTCCTCCATTCTCCTCTCAGGATCTTGGGCATGCACGCACACGCGCCCGGCATGAGTTTTAAGCCACTGGGTCTGGGACTTGAACCATGTTCAACTACATGGGAGTCCAGCAACATAGCCATTATGCTAACTGCTGGTCCCCCCAATGGGGTCTTGACGCCATGACCCACCCCCAACTTCCGCCAGCCTGAACATGGACACATGTATGCCTGCTGTACTGTGGGAGGTCTCTGGATGTGAACCACCCTCCCATGTGGGTCTTTCTCACAGAATGTCGCATTTTACACTGTCACCATCCAGCCACCTAGATTTTATTTTCGGTGGTGATTGGTAGACACACCAGTGCATTAAAACCTCTAAGTAATCTCACTTCACATAAGAGAGAGTTTTCTCTTGAGTGACTCAATAAGGCAGGTTTTCTAAGTTTTCAGATAAAGCTGTTCAGACTATAAAACTGGCCTCTTACCAACCCAGAAAAAGAAATTTGTAAGAGCTTATTTTTTAGATGGTACATAGGAACAAAACTTT